GAGTTGTTTTCCATGCCGTTTCTCTTTTACAGAACAACCTCCAAAAACTTGGTACACCCCCTAAAAATTTTCAAAAATTAATTTTCTCCTTAAGAGCGGCCGTCCCTAAATATCGCCCGAAGGTGTGCAATAAGAAAAAATCGAAAATCCGCAAGCTTTGCCAGATTATACGTCTGGATGACTATTTCCAGAAAAAATAATTTGAGTTCAATTGCATTTTTATTTTCGCGAACGGCGGCAAAATCGGTTTTGTGGCTCTCACGTCAGCTTCACGGGGTTTAGACAACAATTATTTGAACGTCGCTTGAAAATAAACAAAACTCATAGTTAATATTAACTCTGCAAAACTGTATATGACACTTTCTCTTGCAATATTGTGGCCCAGAACTTGTGGGTGTGCCTGTCGCGCAGTCCTAACTGAACAATTCGAGACTGCTGAGGGCAGTTCACGCAGCGAATCGAATACACAAACAATATTTGGCGCTGATGCATGGTAGGTACAAATTTATAAACAATACTCAAATCAGAGTTAATAGAGGGTTCCCTCTATTAACTCTGCTCAAATCAAAGTGTAAATATGGCAAACATATTTATTTTGCGGTTTGTATCCGTCCTTGGCCGCTTCGAACTAGACGATGTTACATTTTGGCTTGTTTTGTTTCGAAAATAACCGCGAAAATATTCAATCTCAGTTAACCAGAGCAGCAGAAACGACAGATGTTGATCAAAGTTAACTTTTTATTTAGATTGGTAACAATATTTCGCTCCCAAAGAGGCCTGTTGTCTTTTCCACTTGCGCACTGTTGATTTTTCACCTCCAACTGCGTGACATGGAATGGCGCGTTTTGACCTCTGAGTCACTTTTGTTTGGGATCCTAAAATTTCGTAGTTTGAGTAGCCCAAAAATTTTATTGGAATTATTTGAAGAAGAAACCTTGTTCATTTGCTGCATTAACTTGATATAACCCCATGCCATGTACCGAGGTGCGATTTTACCCTCTCAATTTTGCCATTTTTTTGTCCTCCAAAATGAGTGAAATATTGGAAAAAACCAAAAATTCCCCAAAAATTTGATTGCAACGGAATCGAACAAAGAACACTTCAGAGTGTTTGTAAATACGTGTTCTTTCCATTAGGAAAATATCTGGTCACATTTACCTTTTTGTTTATTTTCAAGCGACGTTGAAATAATGGTTGTCTAAACCTCGTGAAGCTGATGTGAAAGCTACAAAATCGATTTTGCCGCCATTCGCGAAAAAAAAAATTCAATTGAACTCAAAGTATTTTTTCTAGAAACAGTTCATCCAGACGTATATTCTGGCAAAGTTTGGGGATTCTCGATTTTTTCATATTGCACACCTCCGGGCGATATTTACGAACGGCCCCTCTTAAAACGTCTGGAAATAGGAAAATGCCTTCAACAAAAACAGAGTTCCTCGGTTTTAAAAGTCAGCCCTTATTATTTTCCGCTAACTTCGCTAAATTTTAGACCCAGGACACTTGAGCCCGTGTTGTTGACCGCATACCCTCTGACGTAGCATTCATTATTCAGCTCTGTCGACGTAACCCCGTCACGAATTGTTCCTGAGAGTAAGGTTCTTATATGGTAATTTCAGGTTTTGTAAATGTCGATAACGCAAATTATTGAACGTTCATCAAGGTAACTGATTAGTTTGAAATTTTTTTCTTTGTAGTTTTGATATCTTGTGCCTTGCTGACTGGCGCTGAGCACAGTGAGTAGACATATATCGTATAACAACTTCTTTTTTGCATCTTGAAAACTAACATTTTCAACTGACTGGAGGCTACATATTAATATTCCTATTTGTTTCTTTTTTGTGCTGTTGTTTTGTTTTTTTCTCTCATTGCATTAGGTTTGCTGATAGAGCCTGGATGTACTTGGGCGTACCAACCTATTATCTGACGCACCATTTAGTTGGTGATTAAGCTTTTATTCATCGCAGAGATATGAATATAAGCAACCAAAAGTTTTATTGTACTTCTCTAGGTTGTAACTTTGACTATGGTTTGTGTTCTGACTGGGCGGAAGTGTATTACCAGGATGATTTTGATTGGACTAACCGGCACGGTTCCACTCCTTCATACGATACAGGACCATCCTCTGGTCATGGAGGATTTGGTAAGCTCGTTAGTTCTGTCCCTCTGTCCTTCAAACCGTTTGCTGTGTGATCAAATGAACTCGGAATATGATTGTTAGTTTTTGTAGCAATCAATTGCAAGTTCTCAGTTTGACTCGCACACCTGAGCAAGGTTCGTGAAAAAATGTTGTTGTGTAAGTCTCCAACCATGTGACATGGCTTTATTCGAGTTCTAGGGTGAGTTTTCAAAACAAATACCTTTAAAAACTATTGGAAATTACAGTTCACCACTAAATTTTCTCCGATTCTTATTGGTCTAAATTGATCACGTGACGCGATAGTGTTCATCCGTGGAGAGACACTTTCAGCCCATAGTGCCCGTCCGCGGAAAATACCTGGATGGATAGTATTCATCCGTGAAAAATTTTGAACGGTATGACTGCCGCGAAGTTAGGCAGATCGGAAAAACAGAGACTTTTCAATTCTGTCAGGTATAACGTATTATTTAGCCGATGTACGGTTGAGAATTGTTGACATTAGTGACAGGCTGTACGCATGAATAAATATTTGATTGATCTGCATTTAGTGGGTTTTGACTGTTTTTCATCTGGCGCACGGAAGAAAATTTAGTAGTGAACAATAAAGACAATAGAGTGTTTATGTCTCCGTAACTATCGGTCTGACACTTGCTCCTTGGAAATTTGATGTTCTTAAAGCTAGCATATTTGTTTTAAGAACATCAAATTTCCGCGGGGCAACTACCAGCCGATAGTTCCTTGACAAAAACACTCTATTGTTTGCATAGGTTTACCTGTCTTACAACTGAACAATGTTTACATTGTAGTCTAAGAGGTTAATGACTCTGGTGTTGACGTTTTTTCCCTTTCCAAAGCACAGCACGCGACTTAGTACTAATTGTATATGTGTCTGTACGCGAAAACGGAGCTTAATCTATCGTACTAACGTTTTCTTCCAGGGAGGTACATGTATATAGAGACATCTTCACCTCGAAAGTTTGGGGACAAAGCCATACTTGAGTATTCTGTGCCGACTAACGATGTAGGGAAATCATACTGCTTATCGTTTTATTATCACATGTACGGAGACACAATTCACTCCCTAAATGTCTTCAATGGAGGAACGAAGGTGTTCACGAAGGCAGCAAGCCAAGGAAATCTTTGGTTGAAGGCAAAGATTAGTTTAACGACGTTACAGAATAAAGTAAGCTGTCTTTCTACGCAATATTTTTAGCTTGTTTAAGGCTCATTTTTATATGCATTTTTAGCAATACCCAGTTTACGATCACATAAAGATACTTTTCTTTCCTGGCTTCATAACCTTTTCATTCTTGTTCGAGTAAAAGAGGATTTATTAGCATCGCGTTCTTTACGGAAACACTAACCTGCGAGGAAACTCTCATTGGTTCTGCGACGCGAGAGGCGAATCATGTGTGCAAGGTACTAATGATTAATGATATCCCCCCCCCTCCCCCACTCCAACCCCGCTGGCCTTTAACCAGTGTAAAACCCACGCCCTTCGCCGCCAAGGCCAAAACGTCAATGAAACGCACAGGTAGGTTACGGAAATATTCAATACAAGAGAAACGTTGAAAGGAACCTTAAATATGTATCTAGTGAACAAATGACAATATAAGTTAATCTTGCCATCAAAACCTCAGACCACTGCTAGAATCTAAGTATAACCCAAATCCCTTTTATGTTTTAGATCAAGTTCGAGGGAATCAGAGGATCATCCTACACGGGTGACATTGCCATTGATGACGTCTCTCTCGTCCCCGGAATTTGTAAAGGTACACATGGAGTACATTGACATTTTATCTTGCAGTGGTTTTTTTCTGTTCATCAAGAAAAAGAGAATAAGACCCTTAAGTAGAGAATTTTACAGTAGTTACATGCATTCTAAGTCATTAGCTTAAGACACAAGGACATGAATGTATTGAATATCTAGGTCATCTACACGTGTTTTTGCCGTCTAAAATGTGTACTTGAAGGTAGTTGCAATGGTTCGAAGATCTATATGTGGTTAGCACAACGATTACAAACACGGCATATGGAGCTAACTCATCGGTTATTTCCTCGGAATCTACTTTTAGACGTTTTTAAAGGAGGAATTTCATAGTACTACCGATTTTGATCAATTTTCAGAATGCAGACAGACCTTGAACCAATCTTTCGGAAGACTGGACATAAGATACACGGATGCATTTGACCCTTACTGCAACTGGTTGATCGGAAACGGCGGTATTGCTCAAAAATCTGCTGTTATTTCGATCCATCAAGCGTACTTTGGCCACAGCAGGTAGGTTCTATACTCGTGTTATTTCTTTTAAATTTCTGTCAAAAAGTCGACAATTACTGGCTACAGTATGGACATGCAAATCCATGCAAGGTTAAGTCTGATTAAGTCTCTGATTGGCTTGAATGTGCCTTTAAGTGGCATACTAATCAGGTTGCATCAGAGCTTTTGATTGAAAGCAGTTGTGTTCGCACGTTTCATTTCTACTCTGGCCGCCCTTAGGCTTCCAGTCTAAACAAAATTGATTAAGATTCTCTGTACATTGCAAATGAGAAACTTCAATATGTGCTTGAATTGAATTTATAGTATTTAAATTGTTCCTTAGCGAATATGTCAAAGTGTTTGATGGAAATGGAACAGAGGTCCTGTCCATAGATAGATGGGATTTGTCTTCGAAGAAACGTTTCCTAGAAGTTCCATTTGAATCTTCCGGAAATATGACAATTCAAGCTTCACTTACCTATAGTTGGAGTTATATCAAAATTGACTACGGTATTGTGAATCAAGGTTTGGATTCAGGTGAGTAAAAACGATTTAAAAGTAAGACAATATATCTTATTTCATCGATTCAACTGCAATTTCAATTTCACAATTACATTAGTCTATTAGCGTTAAAAGATAAGAGATAGTTGACAAAATACTCACCTTTCTCCTTTGATATCAATAACGATCATAAGATGTCTTATAAATTCTCTTGCATCAGTAATCGCACTTTCGTTAATTGATCTTTCAAGCAAACGAGAGATGTACACCATTTTAGAATTGAATGAAGAGGGTAGTGACATTTCCCGTTAAAAAAAAAATACTGATTGATTGTTTCATTAACCCACGACTGCAATTATATGTAGCTCGACCATTGGCTAACTGGAACCTAACTGTCGCGAACAAAACCACCACAAGTATCAGAATAATGTGGAATAACCCAGTTAATTTGTTCAACTCTGGAGAAAGTTTCTACGTGGCCATTGCTGAAAGAGTAATGAACGTTAGCAGCGTATCCAACGGAAAACTACTGCCTGGAAACACAACCTCATCTGAGATAACAAACCTTGAAATTTACACGGAATACAACATTTACGTTATAATCGTGGATAGCAATGGGTCACCTTTTAAAAGTGGAGTTGTAGTCACCATGACCGACGAAGGATGTAAGTAAGCTGTATTACACACACACGAAGCACTAACCTCTTCATAAAATTAGTTTATGTCATCATCTGATTAAAAGGGAGTCTGGCCTTATCGATTGATATGTATTCGACCCCCAGCTGAAATATCTTAACATAAGCGATAATAACCCTATACGAACAAACTCAATACATGTGCGTTATTGATCAAGCGTGAGGTCAAGATAGCTGGATATTGGCCGAGTTCTTTTTTTGCATTTTTATGGACCAAGACGAAGTCGAAAAATGCAAAAAAAAGAACGAGGCTAATATCCAGCCATTTTGACTGAAAAAGCTTGGTTAATTAAGGATAAGGACCTATTATTATTAAAAAAAGATTTCGCTCCATTAAGAATTAAGAATGACTTGTTTACTTCGAGAGCTGGGAAAGAAGCCAACTGTGTTCGTAGCACAACAAACACACGAGAATCCCTTCTGTTTTCTTCGTTTTAACTATCTTCTGCCGATTTTTGCGTTTCCATCGCCTAAATTGTCCAAGAATTACGAACTTAGTTCCAATTCTATTTTTTTCATGCGCAGGATCAATGCGGGCAATCCCGAGCGGGCAAGATGGGCCCCTCTTGCCCGCTCGTGTAGCCTATTAGAACACAAGATTCGCTTCGTCTTGTCCACGTGCACTGTGAGCGATTTGATAATAAGCTTTATTAAATAGCTGGTAAGGCCCGTGAGCAAGATGGACAGATAAAGCAAAAAGCGGCAGAGGCCACTCAAGGCTAAAGAAACATAAACGACCCTTGTGGGTTTATTGTGCAACAAACAGCCGGTTCTCGGAAAAGCCAAGTCGTTCTTTTTGCTATATACTGAATTCTTTATTGAACGAGCTTGCTTGGTCAAGATAACTGGATATTGGCCTCTTTTTTTTCCCGTTTTCATGGACCTCGAATTCATCTCGGTCGATAAAAACACAAGAAAAATAACACTACCAATATCCAGCCATCTTGATCTCACGCTTGGTCAATAGTATACACTTAATGTATGGTCCCAAAGGAAACAGTTAGTTTTGTTTTCCTGAAGTCTTGATGTTTCCTCAGAAATACACTAAGTGCTTTGTTCTATATTTAGATTTTACCTGAACAATCAAATGGCAGAAACATGCTGTTGTGCTCGGGTGACAACTTCGCAATTGTATCCCGGTCGGGATGCATTTGAATTTAATCAGGGGCATATAACCAAGAATCAACCAATCACAGCGTTTGTTTTGTTGAGTGAAAGTCCAGGTATATGATAATGCATATTTATTTTTTATTCAGCCCCGAGCAGAGCGCCAAGAGGCGTACGAGTGACAAGCGTGGAGTATACAACTAACCTGCTAGTGGAATGGAATCCTCTATCTCAGATCTATGCAAATGGCAAAATATTGGGTTACACCATATATTATAAAGAATACGACGATTGGTATTCTTCGTATAAGACTATCAATACAATTCACTCCTATCCAACGCAGTTCGTGTTGAAAGGACTGAAGCCGGCGGAGAGATACCGTGTTGCAGTGGCAGCCTTTACATCCAAGGGACGTGGACCGATGTCATACTATACTTACGGGACAACGGGTGAGATAATTAATTTGTGTTACGAGGAACCATAATCTATCTTATATATTTTAATTTTTTAGTGGGTCTTATATTTTTGAAATTATTAATGAAAACGGATTATTTACAAAGAGTCAAAATTTTACTAGGCGGCATAATTTATTCCATGCTGACTGGAGTAATCCAAAATAACTGCCTTGGGCCTTGGATAAAAAACAAGGTATAGCTTATCATGCACAATCGTGCAAACTACCTTCAATGCGGATAAATAGATTGAAAAAGTAAAGGTCTCGGCTTTTAACCGTTAACGACTTTTTAAAGCTTCTTGTAGCTTCAGACTAAGAATTTTGCTATTCCAACGCAAAAATACTTGAAAAAGCAAAAGCGAAAATGATTCATAATGTGAGGAGGATTAACATTTTATTGCTCCTTTTCCCTCCAATTCTAGGTTGTTCTCAAACTTTACGAGAAGCTTTTGGAGAAATAATATATTCGACAAACAGCTACTATTATCTTCGTTGTTATCTAAGTATCATAAGTGGTGGTATACCTGACGCCATAGCCGTATTATCTGTGCAAGAAATAAATCTCAGATACTGCAGGTACACAGAATAGGTTTCTTTAATTATTTTTCACGAATAGCTGACACATTGTTTAACGTGAACCTTTTCATTTCGAAAACAGTACATTATTTAGGTTAATTGCACTTACTCTATCATAGCTTTGTTGGTTTATTCGTATTCTATCAATTATATTTTTGCAATTCCAGTCATTTCCCGCTCTATTATTTCTCATTTACCAACTATTTGTTTGTCCATTAAATTGCTGACAAATAACCAACGTCATTTAGAATGAGGTCTTGTTCTCTTTTCAAAAGTAAACCAGATGAATAGTAAGTTTACAAACCCTTGAGACACCGTTTCAGATGAAAGTTGGGAGAAATATACGGTTCCTCCCCTAAATATATTCACTAATCTTTTGAATGAAATCTCAATTTCGAATGTTTTAGCGACTACGTAAAGATTACCGACGGAAACGGCACTGATGTTTTGTATCATAAGGGCTGCAATGAAAAATTTGCTCCGGAAATCCTCTTTGATGTGCATTTTGGCTCGTCCGACAACATATCAATTCAAGTGTACACAAGCAGTTCCAGCAGTAGTATCAAAATAGAATACGGCATTTTAAGGCAGAGCCTAACCTCAGGTAAGTTTATTTCAGCGGCTACAAAATGATTTTGCTTTTTTATTCACTTTTCAAGTTACAAACATTTCAATTTTATTTATTTTTTCATTATTTTCCCTTTCACTCCTAAATCTATAATTTCTTACCACCTTGACTCCTTTTAACCATTTCTAATTACTGAATACTGATGCAGCGATACGCTTCTACTCTGGCTGCTATATGTGAAATCTCTCGAGGGACTCGGTCACCGCTACCACTACTATTGTTTACGCTACTAATACTTCTACTGCTACTACTACTATACCACCCTTATTACTACTACTGCCACTAATAGTAATACTCCTACTGCCGCTACAACATTATTTCTTCTAAACCAACCAATAGTACTACTGATATTAGTACTTTTACTTCTACTACTACTACTACTACTACTACTACTACTACTACTACTGTCGAATAGGAACAGATGAATCTGCCAGAAGTGAACAATGATAGAGGAAACAATAAAATTTCCATACAGCAGAATGTTAGGGGATTCTGATAAACCTTTCTTTCGTAGCCGTTGTCGTCTCAGGATGGAATATTTCTGTATCCAACCTTGACTCCTCTGGTGCCACACTTCAGTGGACAAGCCTCGATGCAAACGTAAAACATCAAGCAAATTTTTATATCATTGAGGTTAAAAGCATGGATGGCGTTCCACTGGACGTCCATACAGTTCCAGGAAATACCACAATGTCAGTCATAAAGCGACTCAAACCTTCTACAAAGTATCGTGTGGTCGTTTATGGAGTTGACAACAATGGGCAACCCTATACGAGTTCACAAAGCATTCTCTCTACTCCGAAAGGTATGAGATATTTTTTGAAAAATGCACCGGGTGCTAAGTGGTAAACGTCAAGCCTTAAGTCTAAGTGAGACAGGCTTCCTGGCCAAGTACACAGCAGGAAATTTCCTTTGCCATGCCTCAGCACCTTAATCAACCATTTCAAGTTCTCACTGCCGGTTAAAACAGTCCACGCAATGTTAAAAAGACCATGATAAACTATCATGTTTCCCTCATTCTATCTCTAGTATTCTGTGGAACTCGACCCAGTTCGACGCGCATCGTCGGTGGCACAGCTGCGTTTAAAAACAGCTGGCCTTGGCAGGTGATGGTGAAAGAGTTCGGAAGCCAATTCTGTGGCGGCTCATTAGTAGATCTATACTGGGTAATCACAGCAGCTCACTGCGTTCGATGGAAATCCCCAGCTAACCTCAAAATAAGGTAAATAAGTAATGTAAAAATCCATTCTCTTAACCCCAATTATCCGTAATCCAGCGAAGAGAATCGAGGTATGCTTCTCAAAAATTATCTTTGCTCTTACACAAACCTTAACTATTCACTAACCCAGACTAATTTTCCGTTTCTTACGTGCAGGGTGGGAGCCCATTACAGGACCAGTGGAAGCGTTGGGACCGAACAAGACATCACCGTCTCCAAAATCATAGTCCACGAGAATTACCAAACTCCGAAAACATATAGTAACGACATCGCTCTTCTATATCTTGAAAAACCTGTTGTACTTGGAGTAGGCGTCGGACTTGTCTGCTTGCCAGAGATCAAAAATATTCTCCCCGTTGACTTAAATGAAACATGCTGGATAACAGGTTGGGGAAATTTGTACTCAGGAGGATACCAACCGAATACCCTAATGCAAGCGTCTGTGCCGCTGGTGTCCAAACAACGTTGTTCAAATGTTTATCCTGGAAAAATCGACGATACAATGCTCTGTGCCGGCCTGGATCAAGGTGGAATTGACACTTGTCAGGGCGATAGTGGTGGACCGCTGGTGTGTGAGTTCAATGGCACCTGGTATCTTGAGGGTATCACAAGTTGGGGATACGGATGTGCGCAAGCTTATAAGTATGGCGTCTACGCCAAAGTGCGGGCCTTGGATTCTTGGATACGGGCCAATATGTATAAGGTGGTTCCACCGAGTACAATACCGCCGCAGAATCAGTCCTCCGTTTCTTTACGTAAGTATTGCCTGTTTCTGCTGTAGATCATTCATTTTACAGGGAAAATGCATAATTTCAAAAATTCGAAATCCATGTATTTTAAAGTGCCACTACGATCAAAATTTTGCATTGCCTTTTCTTTTCACTTCTGGAAACTAGAAGTAAGAAACACTTAACATTCCAAGTTTAATCGTAAAATTCTCACGGGAAGTATGATTATTTCAACCTTGTTTTTCGTTTTTGGTCGCCCGCCATTACTCAATTCAAAAATGGCCGAGTGTGGCAAAAAGAGTTGGCACTAGTTGGAGCCTTTCGGAAGTGACGTCATATGCGCAGCTCGACCTAAAAACGTGGCTAAATTTGTATGCCATTTGGAAGAAGAATTCAAGGAAGAATACATCTTATAAAACGCCTAGAATTTCCACTGTGGAATCTCTCACAACACACGAAGCACGATGCGAAAGTGCGCATATGACTTCAAAGGCCAACTCATGCGTAAAACCGCTTTTCAGTTCAGTCGCTGGCTCTCGGTTGCGAGTTGAGTAGTGACGGACGGGTTTTTCGTGAATTTCGGCCAGCTATATCAAGGCGTATTTCGCTTCCATCGACCTAAAAACTATCGCATAGTACAATTCTAACCATATTAACTTGATTGGCGCTAAAAAATGTCAAAACCAGAGACAAAAATTTTCGTCGTAGTGGCACTTTAAATAAAAAAGGAAATCTTTACATAAACTGTAAGGGCGATGGTAATCCTCAAAGTTGATTGAACTTTATCTACGAGGCTTCTTTAATCATCCATAATTATCTAAAGTTTTTGACTTTTACAAACCAGTTATTCAACCTTCGACGGAAAGAGACAATTGGAAATAAAAATTGCATACTTAACGAGAACAATGTCCATCATTTTCTCCAATTGCACTAGTTTGGTGTAGCTTTGACAAAGGTTTGTGTTCTGGATGGAGCCAATCCTCTTCGGATGATTTTGACTGGACGCTTGGATCAGGTTCAACGCCTTCCTCTTCAACAGGTCCCAGCTCTGGTCATGGTGGATCTGGTTAGACATAATCTCAAAAATAAATAAATATTTGTAGCATTGATAATATTTCCTTTTAGATCGCACAAATTCGTTAAAATAGATTTTTGATGTCCACACTTGTTTTAAAAGGAAAAAACGCTCAAAGAGCCATATATTGCACCTACCACTGAAGCCGCGAGAAGGTACTCTGCATAGCATCAAAAAACCTTGAATTAGTTTCGTTAGCATTAATTAATTATGTGCATGATGGTATTCGACGTAGTTCGTGTGCTCGTTTGTGACTTAACACAACAATTGACTGGACTTGCTTTTACGATTGATCACTTTCATCTCAACACATCTATTTCTTCCTTTCTATTGTTTGACAAAAAGATGTTGCATAGCTCTTTATCATTTTTGATATTCAAGATGTGTCGTGTTTCTACTGCTGCTTTAGGAAATTATATGTACATCGAGGCGTCCTCGCCAAGAAAACCTGGAGAAAAGGCACAAATTATGGTCACAGCCCCAAACAAAGGGAAAAAGGCGTGTCTTTCATTCTACTATCATATGTATGGAGCTTCTGCAGGAAGTCTTAATGTCTACAATGGTAATGATAAAGTCTTTAATGCGTCAGGAAATCAGGGAAACAGATGGGTGATGGTGGAAAAAAGCCTTTACCTTGATAACGAGGCAAGTGATATCTGGTTTCCAAAGTGGTACACTGTTTTCTTCCTTCTCATCCCTGAGAATAGTGATAAGAGTATCAAATTCAAACAATGAGTTATCACAAAACGGGATCCAATGCTCACTGTCAAGGGAATAATGACTTGGAGAGAAATAAAATGACATTTCATGATGAAGAATTCCAATTTTAGGAGTTCTAAGTAGTTTTAGTACAAAATTTTAACTCGGCTTCTCAAGACATTCGTTGCTCATACATGAATAATTGCAGATGCCTATCAACAAAACTGGATTTTTTTACTTTGGACAAGCCGTTATCTTTAGATGAGTGCTTTTTATCACGTTTTTCTCTTCTTAAATCTCCCTTATATACACAGCTGACATCTAATCAATGGTAAATATCTAGGGGGATTACCATTTGGAAACGTAGAAGATAGATAACGCAATAAAGAATAATGATCATAATTATGACTGCTGGCCGTTGACTATTTGGTACGCCTTTCTTACAGATTACATTTGAAGGAATACGGGGGAGTTCTTACACGGGTGATATCGCCATTGATCAAGTACTGATAACCGAAGGAAACTGTCCAGGTAAATGGCGTAATCAGTAGGTTGAGTTAAGTTCTAGTTGTTTGTTCGTAATGAATTGTCTCGATTTCCAAGCATTTGCTGGTCGACATGGATTGATAAAGATGTACCAAAATCCTTCACGACCAGAATTCTCCAATAAAACCCTTTGGTTAGCCAAGTGAGGGATCTTTTCACTTCTCATAACATATACATTGAAGCCTAAAGGGACGTAATTTTCTAGTAGTAGGTAGCTTACAGATACAAATATATGAGTTAAAATTTAAAGATATAGCTCTTCTCGACAAATATGATTTTGAATTTTACAGTTAGATAATGTTCTGTTTTAATATATGACTGATCTCTGAGCTATCACCTCTCGCGAGGTGATTTTATACCAGGGATACCTAATTTCAAAATGGCTGCTTCGCGTTTTGTCAATGTCACCAAAGAGCACAAAAGATGCTTGGCGTAAGACTTTTCAAAAGAAAGACAGGAAGTGGAGATTGGCGGTTATCTCGATTCGAGTAGTCAAAGATGTTGTAACAGAATGGTTTCAACAAATTTACAACAGAATTCGAAAGCACCTGAGCAATTGTTCCAAAATTAATTATCACCTCAGGTTCCGTGAATATTGTTATATTGCTTCATCTCAGGGATTGTTCAACGACATTTCCTTCGTATAACTGTTAATTATTACTTTTTTCTTCCAGTTTCATGTAGCTTTGACAGTGGGTTGTGCCTCTGGTGGAGCCAATCCAAGTCAGATGTCTTTGACTGGACGCTTCGATCTGGTTCCACGCCATCATCAGGCACTGGGCCTTCATCAGATAGGAGTGGGACAGGTTTGCAATCCTTTACTGAGAAAATTGATCATCAACTAGTTATTCGCAGTCACCATTCTCAAAAAAGACAAACATCTGTAGCTTCGGCTCCATCATAAATTATTTCACGCCTGTTACGCCTCCAAGAGCCGGTTATTCCCTGACAAACCATTTTCAAAACATCGTTTCAATCAATTCATCAACCAGAATTAAAAAAAGACCTGCATATATTAATTTTTTATTATTTTTCAGGAATGTATATGTATACTGAAGCCTCACCTCGGTCAAGGGGTGATAATGCAAAGCTCCAACTTTCAGTGCCTAGCGGAAGATCATCTTCTTGCCTCGTGTTCTACTATCACATGTATGGATCATCAATGGGGACGCTAAATGTCTTTAATGGAAATGACAAAATATTTACCAAGTCAGGAAATCAGGGTTTCTATTGGAAGAAAGTAACCAAAACTTTGCACTTGAGCGATGTTGTAAGTTGACACGTTTTTAGTCGATAGATTATCAGTACACATCGTTTAGGCTTTCTGAATAAAAAAGCTGTAAAAAAGAGTATATGTACAATATGCATATATATATGTTGTAGTTCAATTTAATCCTTGGTTCAAATTTTATTTCCCTTTGTTTCAAACTCATTATCATACATTAACATGACCGAAAACAAAGAAAAATAGAATTGGAGTCAAGGGTAAAATTGAACTACATATACATATACATAGGCATATAAAAGGGACCAAACACATTTCTTGCAATAAATTCCACTCAGTGTAATGTTTTTTTATATAGATACTGATGATATACAAAAATTTTTCCTAATACTAAACAATCATATCTTCAAACAACACCAAACATATGAAACATATGTATGAACTGCGGTTATGAAACATATATGTGCACGATCCTTCGCAGTAAAGCACTATTTGAGCAATAGTGAAAATCAGACCTGAAAAAAATTTCAGGCCTGTACGGGATTCGAACCACTGACCTCTGCGATACTAGTGCAGCGCTCTACCAATTGAGCTAACAAGCCAACTGGGAGCAGGCCATCAAATTAATTCGACATAAACCCGTAGATGATAAATCAAACAACAACAAACATATGCAACATATGTGTGAACTGCGGTTATGAGACGTATATGAGCACGATCCTTCGCAGTAAAGCACTATTTGAGCAATAGTGAAAATCAGACCTGAAAAAAATTTCAGGCCTGTACGGGATTCGAACCACTGACCTCTGCGATACTAGTGCAGCGCTCTACCAATTGAGCTAACAAGCCAACTGGGAGCAGGCCATCAAATTAATTCGACATAAACCCGTAGATGATAAATCAAACAACAACAAACATATGCAACATATGTGTGAACTGCGGTTATGAGACGTATATGAGCACGATCCTTCGCAGTAAAGCACTATTTGAGCAATAGTGAAAATCAGACCTGAAAAAAATTTCAGGCCTGTACGGGATTCGAACCACTGACCTCTGCGATACTAGTGCAGCGCTCTACCAATTGAGCTAACAAGCCAACTGGGAGCAGGCCATCAAATTAATTCGACATAAACCCGTAGATGATAAATCAAACAACAACAAACATATGAAACATATGTATGAACTGCGGTTATGAAACGTATATGTGCACGATCCTTCGCAGTAAAGCACTATTTGAGCAATAGTGAAAATCAGACCTGAAAAAAATTTCAGGCCTGTNACATATGTTTCATATGTTTGTTGTTGTTTGATTTATCATCTACGGGTTTATGTCGAATTAATTTGATGGCCTGCTCCCAGTTGGCTTGTTAGCTCAATTGGTAGAGCGCTGCACTAGTATCGCAGAGGTCAGTGGTTCGAATCCCGTACAGGCCTGAAATTTTTTTCAGGTCTGATTTTCACTATTGCTCAAATAGTGCTTTACTGCGAAGGATCGTGCTCATATACGTCTCATAACCGCAGTTCACACATATGTTTCATATGTTTGTTGTTGTTTGATTTATCATCTACGGGTTTATGTCGAATTAATTTGATGGCCTGCTCCCAGTTGGCTTGTTAGCTCAATTGGTAGAGCGCTGCACTAGTATCGCAGAGGTCAGTGGTTCGAATCCCGTACAGGCCTGAAATTTTTTTCAGGTCTGATTTTCACTATTGCTCAAATAGTGCTTTACTGCGAAGGATCGTGCACATATATGAATCATATCTTCATCGCGCGCAGTGAACATACTATTTTTATCTTTCACGTGTGACGATATTGGTGTCGCCATGGTTACTAACATGCTGTTCTCAGTAGACCTTTTCTCTTCTTCATTAGAATTTTCACTTTTTGGAATAGAAAATGTAGTAATATTTTCTTTATTTCTCCTCTATAACTTTATATCCGAGTTTCATAACATTTTTATGACAGGCAATTTGCGGTAGGTGACCACTTTAATTGCACTATTTTGTTTATGCGGAAATTTCATCAGTGTCTATAAAATAAACAGAACATTACATGGCCACGCGGGGATATGAATTTTATCTTCTCGTTCTGAAAGTATCTCTCACTCGTCCGCTTCGCTCACTAGTGAGAGATACTTACAGCACTCGAAGATAAAATTCGTATCCCCGCGCTGCCATGTAATATCCTCTATTTTTACTTAAAGAAGGACACAAAGGACTTGCTTACGTGTGATGATTTTAATTTCAATCTTTTTAACTTTTTTTCCTTTTTTCTTTTCATTTTTTTTTTTACTGTTGTACCTGCCTCTCTAGTTGACATTTGAGGGGATTAGAGGGACGTCGTACACAAGTGATATTGCTATTGATGATGTCAAAATAAGCGGTGGAAACTGTCCAGGTATGGCTTGTATAGAAGACAGAATTGTGCCGAACCTTCCATAACATAACTCCTCATTTACTTTCAGTATATAGGTGAAAGGTGTAAATAAATGCTCAGAGTTCTAGATAAGTATCTGGTGGGTGAGGGAGTCACCAATTGGAACCCCCAAAAATTCTACGATGCTGGCAAATATAAATAAAGAGTAAAACCCAATCTAGTATGCTTGAAGACCGGAAAATTTTCCAAAAACGGGGATTAAAAGTCGATAAACCACCTTATCGTGGTCATCTTAGGTGATAATGCCGTAAGTCAACTCGTAATATGAAAACCGGCTTATTTTTGTGGCAATGTGGGCCCCCTGGCTTGAGTGCGAAACTGGCTGATCACCGCCACGTTACTAGATGCCCACAATTTAAATAACTGAGTTAAGTTGTTAGACAAAATGACGAATTTTCGTATTTTTTTAGGTTGTGGCGGTGTTTTAAATAAGTCTTCTGGAGTGGTGCACCTTGCTAACACTGGGAACGAAGACGAGACCCATTGCATTTGGACAATTGGTAACGCCGGGTTAAGACAATCATATGCATCGCTGTCTCTTCAAAGAGTTTACCTAAGATATTGCAGGTATTAGCCTTATCTCAACTTTGCTGAATTCGTTGGAGACGTACACACACAAAGGATTTAAATAACTAAAAAAATTAGTCATAAATGTCATGTAGCAACTGGAGCAGGAGACAGGACCATGTCCCAATAGATGTCTAGCCCCAACAGAAATTAATATTAACGAAGAAATCAAGTTATGAAAAATAGAAGTATTTTAACGAAAAATATCTAAGTTAAGAATTTAAGGCCCTCTCATTCCCAATCACACTTGTGCGATAAACTTAAACTTAGTTAGAAACTACGAAAGGCTAAAAGCCTTCATTTAAAAGTGTGAAATGAATGGACACTATTAGATTCTGTTGGAAATTTATTCCAAGCGAGTATAGTCCAGCAACATTGCAGAATTGCAGAAGTAGGGTCTCTTTTCAAAGGAATATTGATAAGGTGAGCATTTCTAAACAATTTCCTCCCTAACGACGCCTACTTTTCCTTCGCTATCTTATCGTTAACTTTACAGCGAGTATGTCAAGGTCTTTCATGAAGATGGAACGAAACTGTTTAACCAAGAGGGCTGTCAGTCTTCGCTTCCACACGGCACCTCACTGGAAATTCCCTACGGTGTCTCAAACCACCTAACAGTTGAAATTTCCCTACAGTATAGATGGAGCGCGGTTAGCATTCAGTACATGATCTCAAAACAAGGACATAATTCTGGTATGATTTGATCCTGTTTCAATATTTATTTCCCTTTTCGCCAACTAGATTTTAATCCAGGCAAACGCTATGGATTGGTAGAAATCGAGGTACTATTTCGAATTTTGTTAGCGTAATTTACTTGATTATTAATCTTAACTTTGAAAACTGCATTTCATCCCCTCCCCCTTCACACAAGAAAAAAAGCTATGGAGGATCTACAATGTTGACGTACCATTTCGAAAAAGCCGGAAATTTTGGTTACCAGGAAGAGAATGTTGTTGTTCTGATCTTATTTAAGACAGTGTTTTTCACCCTTTTATTTTTTCGATAGGCTATTAAAGGTTAACATATTAAGAGATCGATTTGACCTTAAATTGATTGCTTAAAAAAAAACAAACAAACAAAACAAAACCAAAGAGAATCTTAACAAGGCCAAAAAAACGCATCAGGTCTAACTAATTATTTAAGATGGTGAGTTGAGAGAGGGACTTCTACTTTAATGAAAATGGAAAAACCGAGTTCAGTTCAATAGTGTTGTAAACAACATTCTGTGTTCCCGTACTCCTTTCCATATTTTCATGTAACTATCTATCGATTGGTATACTTGTCATTTCATTTAACCACTGTTTAAAACATGGCGCGAATGCGTGCTCTGATTTAACAGCCCAACCAATATCCTCCTGGAATACAACAGTGGTTAGTATAACATCATCGTCAGCAACTGTACGGTGGTCAAACTTTCCTCTATCTTCTTCAATCAATCATTTTTTGGTGAGGTTCAAGGAGGTTTCTGGTGTCAGCACATTGTTCCAAGTCAGAAGCTTGAGCAACTCTTATTACACCAACCGTCTCAAGGGATACACATCTTATGATGTCGAAGTTTTAGCTGTGACTGCCAGCGACGGAAATAATACATATTCCAGCAAAACTGTGTCAATGAAGACGGCAGAGGGTGGTAAGTTCCCTTGTGATATTTTCTTAGTTGAAATCGATAGCAATTAAAAATTAAATTGGACGAGGTCGAGACAAAGAGAAATCCTTGATTTCCTCTCCGTATAATAGGTGCGATATGCGGCATTAGCAGTATTTCCACAAGCCTCCTACGCCTGAGGGATGGAATAAAACCTGGGCTCTCGCTGCTTTTAGGCCTCCCTTGAAGGAAATAACTCTGATAAAATGACGAGAAACTACCCCAACATCAATGAAAGATGTCGTTCTAAAACCGAGCATAATGGTAGAAATCTCATCCCTTCTTGGCAAATGTAAACTCTCTAACTACTTGAAAAAATATCTAGTTCAAAACAGACTCTAAGCATTTTCTCAGGAAATATGAATAGTTCAAATGTGGCAAGAAAAAAAAACCAAAACGAATGTGGTTAATGGCGATGTCCTTAACATATCTTGACGACCTCTGTGCTGTACTATGTAACAGGTGCGTAGTAGCATGGAGGTCATTTATTAGTTCTTCGTCCAAAAGATAATAAAGAACCATTTACGCTGATAAATGATAACCGTTATGCCCATCTTTATTTTGCAGTTCCCAGTCGAGCTCCGTCGAACGTCCGTGCGGCAAGCCATGGATTGAATGAATTCTTAGTCGAGTGGGATCCACTCCCTCACCAATACGCCAATGGTCGACTTCTGGGATACAAAGTTTATTATAAAGACGCTGACTACTACTACTCGTCGGAGATATCTGTTAATACGAGTAACGCTGACGAGTCACAGGCTGTACTGAGTGGGGTACAGACAGGCCGTCGTTACAAGATTTCTGTAGTAGCATTTACTTCTAAAGGGGAGGGGCCCCGATCTCCAGATTTCTACGAAACCAAGGGTAAGGACCCACTGAGTCCTGAGATACTAGGAGTCGATTCTCGTTTACAATAATAGACACTGATAGGAGACACCGATATTCAGCACGTATATCTTATTAACCAAGCGCGAGGGCCGTACTGGGAGAATATCGGCCCTCGATCTTTTTTGTACGGACCGAGCTGCGCTCGGTCCGTACAAAAAAGACCTAGGGCCGATATTCTTCCAGTACGGTCCCGAGCAAGCTTGGTTAATAAGAGATTTATTATACGACTGAAGTTCAAAGGGACACAAGTGCGGTATCATTCGGGACCATTCGGGACAATGCCCGGTCCAATACTGAGTGAATATTGACCGGCAATAGAGCATTTTGATTGGTTGATTTTAGTTATTGGCCCTCTGACTACCCGAGTCATGTAATAAAAAGATATATTGGTTCCTACCTATGGATAAATAAACCTCTCGATTATTTAACTCCAAAAATAATACACGAGTAAGTTGCAAACCACTGAAGACTTTGTTCGCCTTGTATATCATCGACTCTAGAATTTCAAATATTAATAAAAAAATTGTGCTTCTTTTAGCTCTAACGAATCGTTATTTACCCTCAATTTATTTAATTTTTTTCATTTTTTTTAATTTCTTCGTCTCACTATCAAGATTTCAAGACGATTTGTGGCGCAGAATGATTTCTTATAGCATGAGGGAAATTTTTTTCTGTGATAAACAAATCTCAGACGTAAAGTTCTTAATATAAAGTTATAAATGTATTTACAAAAGGGATGTGACTTTTTTTTATCTTGTATTTTTCTGAATTTTAGGTTGCGAGGGCTTTGTAAACCAAGTGTCTGGTTCGTTGTATTTTAGTAATTCGCGCTACAGTATTCTCAACTGCAGTGTTCAAGTACAAAATGCTGGAATCAAACGTGGATCGGCCCTTATTTCCTTTCAGAGCATATATTTTAGATATTGCAGGTAGCTTCGGGGACATTAATCCTGATTTTATTTTTTCCCATTTAAATAGATGACAGACAGCTTGCACCAGCTAACGTAAAAACCGAGAATATGGCCAAATTTCTAAACCAATCGGTTTTCCTTCACTAAGCACTAACGTACATTGATCTCGTCTTTTCTATGGGCTTTGACTGATAAAACACAAGCTGTTACTCTGCACGCATAACCGAAGAAAACCGAATTAACAGTAATTTGCAAAATACAATAGAGTTGTGAGACAGTAAAGCGACTTTTTTTCCCGTTTTGTTGCATCAGTTCTGCAATACGTAACTGTCTTAACAATATATACTAAAAGACCTACTCACTGTCTGTATTCTCTCACCTCTAGCGACTACGTCAAGATTTTTGATAGCAATGGTCTTCAGGTTTTTCATCATGGAGGATGTGATTCCCTAACCAGAGGAATGTCCGTAGAAGTCCCATTTGGTGACGGGCATAGTATCACGCTCGCTTTACTTTTTTCGTACCGGTATAGTTACGCCAGAGTCCAATACTCGATATTAAATCAGCCCTTAAGCTCAGGTAACTAAAATTTCGAGTTGCTTTTGAATTTCAAATAAAAAAAGATCTCGAAAAACTGGTATACTAATGAAAAAAAGAGTCAAATGAAAGGACGTAGTGGGGTCAGTTCGTAGAAAATAGAAATTAGTTTCCAAGGGAGGATTCAAAGTACTTTTATTATTCTCTGATTGCTTCTTCTTAGCTTGTAAGACTTATTCTTCTGTTGTATTTTTTCCCTGCAGCTCAATTGGTCCCATCTTGGAACATCAGTATCTCCTATACTACAACCAAGTCGATGACAGTTCAATGGTCCAGCTTCCCTCTCACAAGTCATTCCGTTCAACAACTTTTAGTGAACTACAGAGAACACAATTCGAACGTCAGCCTAGTATTTCAGACTCCAAGTTATTACAATACACATTACACTGGCAGGATTTTAAAGGGTTACCAATATTATGACGTGCAAGTAATTGCTGTGGCGTCGAATTCTAGCAATGGTACATTCACCAGTAGGAGGGAGATCGGAAGGACTGACGAAGGAGGTAAACAAATCCAAGTATTTCATGATTGCTTGTCTTTTTAGTGAAAGTAGTTTTTTAGTTCTAGAGACTTGATATCTCCAAATTCAAACGACACTAATTGTGCTCCTGGACTAATTGCTTTGGAAATAAATGAAAAGCATCCAATTTAAACGTAAAACCCCAATTCCATTTTTAACTACATGTATGGAAATTTCTACGATGTAGACTTGTGTGAATGATATTTTTCATTCAACGCTGCATCGTTTGGAGAAGAGCTCAAAGCACAAATAGCAAAAATTTCTGACCCTTGTGACCAGTGTTATAAATATTCGGGTCTTTTTCTTTAATTATTACTGTTGAATGTTGTTTCTTTTATTTCGCCATTAGGAATTGATGGGGTAATTGTTAATCGCTCTGAAGAAGGGTTAACGCTCGAAACGGCAGCTTTTTTATTCGTTACGGTGGCCAATTTACAATTTCAACATAGTTGATAAGACCAAATTAATTGTTATTTAGCTGAGAATTGAAACCAGCAAACGGTCTCTATGAACTTAGACTAGAACGATATCCTTCTCTTTGATTAAGTAATTTACTTGAAGTCGTAACTCATCCTAATTTATACAAATTTTCATGTGGCTTTCCCTATGAAATGTTCCCATTCCCTCTGCTTTCCAGTTCCAAGCACTGCACCACTGAATGTACGATTGACAAATCTGCAGTCTCATGAGGTGAAGGTGCAATGGGATCCCATACCTCCAGAGACGGCCAATGGAATATTGCTGGGATATAGAGTGTTCTATCAAGAGTACTGGTATTCAGGTTTGCTTCAAAGTGTGGACACCAAGAGCCCCAATGCTCACATGTTGGTACTAAGGGGCTTGAAGTCAGCGCAGAGATACCAAATATCGGTGGCAGCATTTACGTCCAAAGGAGCAGGATCGCGGTCATACTTGAGATACATTACAACAGGTCCGTGACACAACTTTGTTATGAATTATTCTTTATTACGAATTATTCTTTATTACGAATTATTCTTTATTACGAATTATTCTTTATTACGAATTATTCGTTATTACGAATTATGGTAATTTTGGCCTTTTTCACATATCCCCCCAAATCCTTTTTTTAAAACTCAAATCGTTAACACTCTCATTTGATTCTGACCGGCCCGTTGTTTACTCACCAATGATGATTTCGTAAAGAACGCACAACAAATATCAAAACAATCAGCATCGCCATGTACCGTTGCTAAGTCCTTTTAACTTCTTGAGGTCTTTATTGGCTTGCTGTTGTGGACAGAAAAAACGCATAAATGTCTCATCGTTTTGAGCCTTCACTGTAAATAAGAAAAATTCTCAGGTAAAGATGTAGTTGCGATCTCACTTGCAAATAAGAGCACGAGTTGCTCGCTGATAGATATTCGCCGATGTCTATTGAAAGTAGTGGTATATAGTAGCTGCGTGTAGTATGCAGAACGGATAAATATAGGTTTCCTAAAGGACTTCACCTCAACATAAAGGGAAAAAAAGGAACATCATGTAAAGCCAATCGAGAATGTGTGGTAATCAATTTCCATAAAGAAAAAAAAAACTGTTAGAACAGAGACCTTTTTGGTCTTATCCTTCTTGCTTGAAATTTTGTTCTCATCCCTGTTTGATGTTGAATGAATATTTGCTAAAAAGATGAATTAAAAACCGCGAGTTAACCCCTTTTCTAAAAAATCCTATCCATACATCTGCGCATATGTATTGACAGACAACTCAGTATCTTCTTGAAATATGAAGCATGCTACTTCGTTCTAACTAGTCTAACAGAGATCCAAAGAAAGATGAACCGGTTATAGTTGTGGGGAACAATACAACTCACATTTGAAAAGCTGATTTTTTTCCTCCAGGCTGGTGTCAAAAGGAAGTTAAATTAGTTCCTTGTACTCATTTTGGTCACTTCTATTAATGTTATTGACTCTATACAGACAGTGAATTAGTTCATTGCAAATAGTTTCAACGGAAAAAAGGAATGATTTGGTTGCACCTCAGTACAGTATATTGTCGGCATTACAAGTGAATGAATGTTTTAAAATTGCTCATTATTGTATCATCTACTGATGGATTGTTAGGTTGTGGTGGACAACTAAACGATTCATTTGGACAAGTGCGCATCGGCTCAAACAGAAACTACTACTATTTACGCTGCACCTGGAATATCGTCAATGTGGGCATCCAGCAAGCGGTCGCCTTCATCTGGATAAAAGACTTTTATTTTTCTTATTCAACGTAAGTAAATTAAGATGTACTAGTGTTCATTTAAAAGATAGGCATATGACTAAACCTACACAAAAAAAGAACAACTTCGATTCCATCGACACTAAACCAATTTAGGGAACTACTCACGTTAAACGCAGCCCTACGGTTCGAGGCGGTTGCGTCGCTTGACACTGGCTTATAAAACTGCTATGTGTTTCAGTTTGGACAATCTTTAACGTATCGAACTGCTTAATTTGGACGACGTTCTTCTTTTTCTTTCCATGAAGCACAGAGGCATAGGCGTACCTTAGACAATACGACAACTGCTTAATTGTTATTCAGCAGTGTAGTATAACAAGTACTTAGCCGTAACTTACAAGATTTCTCCTTCTCTACTAACAAAAATTGTACGAGAAAAACAGTACGAAAATCAAATTGAACGATGTCGAGTGACTGGAAGCCGAAGGGTATCACGACAGCAAATCAGGCTTCCAATAGTCTAATTATGTATTTGGCTACAGTAGTTTCACCCAGTATTTGGAATCATCGCGCTTGAGTGAAATCATTGACAATTACTTCATTTATAGAAAAAGAAAAAAGGGGTGAGCCTTTACGGAGAACGTTTAGTCTCCATGATCATTTGCCAGTTTTTCTTAACCAGAAACAATATTAGTTTCTCTAGACGTGCTCCTCTCCTCTCTTATGTACAGTGTGACTTAATTTAATTGGTGTAATTTTGTATCGTTTCCTTGAAAAATTTATATCTTTTACTTTATTTTTCACCCTGTATTTATTTCAACTAAAGTTTGGAGAAATAAATAGATTAAAAAATAAAATTAAAAAGAGAAACAGAAACAGGAATGAGGACCGGGAAATTATCAGGGTATCCTTAAAAAAAGGTTACGGGCTATCTTGGATTGAAAAACATCCCATAAAAGAGAATGAGTATTTTTCAAGTCGCTTTATATCAGAGAAACCAGAGATTACAACTGGCAATTATAGGACACTTGGCCTGTGAGGGTTAACCTTTGTTTAATATTAGTAACTGTTCTTGTTCGCAGTGGCTATTTAAAGATCCTGGACGGCAATGGCTCTGTAGTTCTACATCAACATAGGTACTCCGCTATTCAAGAGAACATTTTCGTGGAAGTTGAATTTGGGAATGCTGACAACATTACCATACAAACCTACCTTGCGAGTTCATACAGTCACTTTGAGCTTTATTACGGGACTTTGAAAGAAAGCCTTCAGTCAGGTTTGTACTTGCCATTTAAGCCTTATATTTTTCTATATTAGGTGTTATCACATTACATCTCAGTATCACTCGAAACGGAGCAACATTTCTTCTCTATTAAAATAAGTCTCATTTTCCCATTCTTTATAAACTACATAAATCAGTACATGCGAGATACCGTATGGTTTGCCGGCCTTACCTGGTTGAATACATTAACGTAGGTCTTTCGAATTCAGAAACTCGTGTCACTGGAAGGTGACACTTTAAGGTAAGCGACAGAATTGTAATCTGAATTAATGACCTTCCAATCAGAGAGGGAACGCTGCCATTACAACCAGATTGGTTTAGCAAATGAGTATGCCATTCGAGGGGATGCTACATTTGAGTGAACTTTTATTTTCAGTCTAATAGTCACATTTAATACTCAAATTAGATTCTCTGCGGTTTCGGAGTTATTGCATTTACTGTAAACTTTTCCCTATGCGTAGCTTATTAACCATTGTCTCATCATCTTCCAGCTTTGTTGACTGCAAATTGGAACGTTACAGTCGAAAATGTCACTCCTAGAAGTGTTAGTGTCCTCTGGACTAACCTGGAATTACTGATAGGAGACCAAATTTTGCATTATATAAGTTTGGTAACAAGCGCTAACGGTAGCACTGTTTTAAACGCTGAGATCACAAGTGGAAACACCACGACTGGGCATATTTCTGGATTATCAGCATACACGGAGTATAAAATAAGCATTGTTGGCGTTGGAAGTGACGGGCAAGCGCACAAAAGTTCAAATTTAACATTTTGGACGGAAGAAGGAGGTAAAACCCACTAACTTATCAATGTCATGAACTCTCTCTTCCATTTGCCAGTTTTCAGTTTCATTCTTCAGTTTCAGTTATCAGTCTTCTGTTTCTAGTTTCTATTTTTTAGTTGCCAGTCTCCAGTCTTCAGTCCCCAGTCTCCAGTCCCCAGTCCCCCGTCTCCAGTCTTCATTTTCCACTTTCCAGTTTCAGTATTCAATTCTCAGTATCCAGTTCTTAAGCTAGCTGTGTTTTAATCAAACGAAGCTGGTTGAATTGTCTGTAAATTCTTGCGTTTTAATCTTTTAATTGATTAACTTTTAGAGTCTTAGCGTTTTTGAAACAGTTAGACACCATGTTGGCAGTATGTATCCTCATTTATTGATACTCATATCTATCATCTAACTATTTATAAATTAATCCACAGTGTGTATCTACCTATTTCATTTATTAACTGACTTGTGAGAAAGATTTTGATAATAGACTGATTGAAGTACCCAACAAGTAAGTGCCATCGAAATGTCTGTTAACTCTTGGAAAAAACCGTTATGATCAACATCGGGTCGACGGAAGAGAACCATACAACTATGTGGCGAGCTTTGGTGGGCCCGAAAGAGTTGTTCGAGGTGCAAACATGAACAGATCCAGATTTAAGAGTGTTGATGCATCGAAAAGTTGGATTAAATTATAACACATCAACACGTTGATTTAAAAGTTGTTTGAAGAGACATTTCCAGCGCTGCATTACCGAATGTACAATGAATGGTAAAACTTTTCGTTTCACCAAATCTTCAGAGCCGATTAACAAGTGATATTTTGCTCTTCCTACACCAAGAAATGCAAAAATATTTTCCCTTTTTAGTTCCCAGTGGATCCCCATCAAATGTTCGACTGTCAAACCTACAGCACAGTGAGATACAAGTACAATGGGAACCACTTGCACAGCATTATGTAAATGGGCGACTACAGGGATATAGAGTTCGTGTTTACGAGTATGGATATTACTATTATTACGGTTCCCTCGTGCAAACTTTGGAGACTCCTGGTCCCTATGTTCACACGATGAAAGTAAGAGGTCTAAAAGCTGCACAACAATACAGAGTAACCGTCGCAGCTTTTACTTCGAAAGGCGAGGGCCCACAATCTTACTGGCGATACATTACAACAGGTATTTCTAACTTTCTATCTGAAACTAGATAAATTTGGTGAAAATTAGCCAATATGTAAGCCGATTTAGGCATGAGGAATTTCCATATTCTATTTGACGATATCGTCATGCGCTTTGATATGGAAAATGCAATAAAAAAAATTAGCTGCCGAGAATCTAACTGTTACATTCAGAACTTGATGGCTGACATACATTTCTGCTTTCAATTAATGATGACGGTGCTGGTAAGAATTGAAAAATGTTTGATCAGAGTATTATTAGCCACTTCTACGGATTCATTTGTTTATATCAGCATTAGGTGGGTTGCTTTTAACTTTTTACAGATAGCCATCTGCTTTTATATATTTACCGTTCTATTAATAAGTAGATGATTTGAGGGTGTCTAATGCTCTTTTGGACTTGAAAGCAGCCTAAGTATCTTTAATGACATTAAGACAACTAAAAATAGTATATATATATATATATATATATATTAAAAACTAGATCATTGGATAATGCAATTCAAGACTTTTTATTGGCTTAGCCCTTATGGTATATCAGCCAATATACCATAATCTACAAATATGGCCATCGTAAGTGTCAGCTTAATATTAAAAGGGAGCTAAAAATTTAATAAAATTTTATACTTAATTTAACGTTTTTAATAAAACAATTATTCCACTCGCTCTTGTTGGATATGAGATGATTATAGCCAACTCAGCGCTACGCGCTTCGTTGGCTATCTATCATCTCATATCCAACGCGCGCTCGTGGAATAATTGTTAAATATATATATATGTTTATTAAAAACTGGATCATTGGATGATGCAATTCAAGACTTTTTATTGGCTTAGCCATTATGGTATATGAGCAAATATACCATAATCTAATATCTGTACATTGTAACATCCGGTTTCTTCTTACAAAATAAAGTCCAGAAGATTTGTCTAATATCTTGGGGGCGTTTCTTTTTTAATAAAACTATTATTCCACTCGCGCTTGTTGGATATGAGATGTTTATGGCCAACTCGGTGCTATGCGCCTCGTTGGCTATCTATCATCTCATATTCAACCCGCGCTCGTGGAATAATTGTTAAATATAATAATTGTGTAGAATGAGTGGGGAATTAACAACAACTAACTGCTTCATAACCTTTGGATCACCAACCTATTCCCTTCGGAAGGCGATTCCCAGTGATTTCTGACAAATATGAAATAGTAGTATGTAATGGGAACAAAAATCGAAACAACAGAGGAGATGAGTGAAAATGTATACAGTCGGGAATCGCACCCGGGTCTCCTGGCGGGGTTGGTTCAGTGGCCTCGTGTTAATGCATCTGACCGGTAACCAGGAGACCTGGGTTCGATTCCCGGCTGTATACAGTTTTCGCTCATCCCCTTTGTTGTTTTGATTTCTGTTCCCATTACATACTACTATATATATCCGTCTGATGATTGCGAAAGCATGAAACTACGAGTCACGGAAACTTTGTTTTGTTGTTGATTTTACTATTTCCATTTACGCTCTACTTTATGTATACAGCCAGCTAAAGCATCTCCTCCAGAGATAAATAGATATATATCTATATATATATATAGATAGATAGATAGATATATACGTAGAAAGTGTAAAAATTGCGAGGATGGACAACTTCTGACCTAAAGAATATAAAAAATTTTAATAAAAAACGTTTCGGTCAGAGACCTTCTTCAGTTATTTACAACTTTTGAAATAAAAAAAGAGCATCAAATAGGATCGAAGTGCTAATGATTACGTAATTACAGATAACGACTTATGAACTGGTGCTAACAAAACAAAAAACCTAATTACAAAGAAAGCGATGGACAAAATACAAGAAACAAACCCTAAAAACTAAGATAAGACTACTAAATATGTTAATGTGAGCGACGTAATCAATTGCAAAGAAGCGATGCGGCGAGCATTAAAAAAGGGAAGGTCCACTTTTTACTACAACTGTAAACCGTAACAAAATCCCAAAACAAGGCCTTTGGAGCCCGAAAGGGCAAATTAGCGACAAAATCCCTGGAGGGGCCCTTAAATGATACTAATCATAATAAGATCCCTTGATAGGGCCTCCGAGTCCAATCCACACCAAAAGGGCCGGAAAAATCCAAGAAAAGGGCCTTTGAACGATCAATTAGTAGCGCCTAAAATAAGATGGAAAATTAATTATAGCAAATTCTATTTTTCGAATGAAATTCCTTTCTTTTATTCAAACCATGGAATGTCAAAGAGAACAACTGAGCACTCCAATAAGCCTCTTTTGTGATTAAAAGCCTATCGATCTCTGCAGAGCCCCTAGGGGCCTCTACCTGATCAATGCATTGGAACGAAAAATCGTCCAGGGTGTGTAGGGTTTCGTTGAAGTGTATCGCTACTTCACAAGTTGTTTTGTTTGTGAGCATAGTAGATTTGTGATTTCGAAATCTCACTTTAAAGTCGGTGGTAGTAAATCCCATGTATTGCAGGCGGCATTTCTTACAGGAAGCCAAGTAAATCACATTTTTAGAGTCACAGGAAAGTCTAGAGTGAATGGTGTAATTTTTGCCCGGCTGAAAGCTGAGAAATGATTACTATATATATATATATATATATATATAAAGTGTGACTTGATTTTCGTAGAACAGTGCTCAATACATAGAAGTAGAGCGAAGTATATATTGTGGGAGGAAAAAGACAAGTAAACTACAAGTTCATCCCTACAAGCCTGTTTCGTGGTCGCCCACTCATCAGGGGATTTAATGAGAATAAACTTTACCATTGCTTATATACAATATAATTTGCATGATCTAACTAGTCTAATTTATGCAGCGCGAAATATATATAAACGAATAAACAAAAAATAAAATTGTTTCACTTATCCTCGGAGTGCTCGATGCAGAAATGCGCAGAGCAAAATACACATGTGAAAGAAGGAAATTATTACTAGTTACTCGAGTTTCACGCTCTAGGCGATCATCAGACTGTGAGTTGTCTACGAGAAGTAAACGGTTATGAATGTTTAAAATTCAAAAACGGTTAGAAGTCACGCACGCGCTTCTTCTGATTGGTTGCTATGAAAAACTTGTTTTCGTGGCGGCGTTTCGTTACAAGCTCAGATTTCTTATTTAAGAGAGAGGCATTTTGAGTGGTTAAGATGGAAAGTTTTTCAGCTAAACATAGGTTGCAGCGAGATGGTTTGCTTTTGTATGCGCTTGCCCTTTTGATGATACGCCAGTTGATCTATTCAATAGAAACAACCTGAAGGTCAGCTACAGCTGCACTACAAACGTGGTTAATATAATCAAAACTCACAACCAGAAAATCCTAAATGAAAACGACGAGGCATCCAACGAAAAGAAATGCAACTGCAGAAACAAAAACGTTTGCCCTCTTGACGGCGCGTGCCTCACCGGAAACATCACCTACGAAGCAACTGTCAAAACAACTTCTGGTAACGCAAGGAACTACATTGGAATGGAATGACAGAACACGCTTTCAAAACAAGATACAACAACCACAAACCCCCTTTAAATACCGAAAATACTCACATGACACTGTACTTTCAAACACATTTGGGACTTAAAGGACCAAAACAACGACTACAAGATCAACTGGCGTATCATCAAAAGGGCAAGCGCATACAAAGGCAAACCATCTCGCTGCAACCTATGTTTAGCTGAAAAACTTTCCATCTTGACCGCTCAAAATGCCTCTCTCTTAAATAAGAAATCTGAGCTTGTAACGAAGCGCCGCCACGAAAACAAGTTTTTCATAGCAACCATTCAGAAGAAGCGCGTGCGTGACTTCTAACCGTTCTTGAATTTTAAACATTCATAACCGTTTACTTCTCGTAGACAACTCTCAGTCTGATGATCGCCTAGAGCGTGAAACTCGAGTAACTAGTAATAATTTCCTTCTTTCACATGTGTGTATATATATATATACATATATATATATATATTGTAAAAATACATCATTTGAAGTCAGGTAATGTTTTTTTTCTAAGCATTGTCGTCTCCTGTTCCTTAGGATGCGGAGGAAGCGTAAATCAGTCATTTGGCGAGATACAAATTGGACGGAGGCGTTACTACTCTTATCAACGATGTAACTGGGAGATTGGCAACCCGGGATTCAACCAATCTATCCTGATTGTATCTTTTGAAGAACTGTATCTCTCCTACTATTAGTAAGTTATGCCGATAACTAAGCCTTGAGACACTACCCTGTGTTAAACCTTTTAACTCTTTTTATACTCTGCAGTTGATGAAATACATGTAGAAAAATATTTGTAAATCCTCCTTGGAATAAAAAGTGAAAAGAAATGCAAATTTAAAATGAATCTGAAGACCTAAAAAGACTTTAAAAATCATTTTTAAAAAAATTCTCCCTTTCTACCCAAGCTACATATCCTACGAAATACCTATGGACCCTCTAAGACACGAAGATGGTGAAGTTGGTGGTTTTTGTTGGTGCTTTTGTTGTTATTGCGTAAGACAAATGAACTTCATAATAGCCCTGTTTACTATAGAGTTTCTGTGGCCTGTTGGTGGAGCGTTGAACCACAGAGTCCAAAGGTCTCGATGACTCATGGCCCCATGATCACGATAAGACAAAAAATAACTTTTTTTACATTTAAATCAAGTGTGACATTCAAACTGAAATTTTACCCTCACATTGCTCGAGTACCTTAGGAAAACTTTCTTCTTTATTTTGACAGTGAATATGTAAAGATCATTGATGGAAATGGTGTAAGAGTATTTTACCACACTGGATATTCGTCCTCCCCTTTGAAAACGTTCCTGCTAGTTCCGTATGGGAGTGGAGATCATATCAAGGTGCAGATTTACTTCTATAACAGCTGGAGTCAGTTCAAGGTTCAATACGGAATCGTAGATCAGGACCTCCAGTCAGGTGTGTTGCTTTGTTGCCCTTAATACCTTTGATGTCGAACACCTCGTTTTTATTTGCATTTGCTTGCTTACCATTTAAAATCTGATACACTCTTGGTGTCTTCTTATGTAGTTGCTAATTCCGCTTCCAATGCTTCCTCTTTTTTCGATGTAAAAATACACCTTGTCTCTGCACTCACAATATTACCGCTCTATAACTTTCATGGATTTATTTCATATCGTAGCTGTATTTGTGTCTAACTGGAATGTAACCATTGGGAACACTACACAAAGAAGCATCGGCGTCCAATGGCAAAATTTGAACGAATTGTTGAATCAGCAGATTCTTCACTTCTTCGGTCTTCTGGGGACTTCCAATGGAACCATTTTGAACGCCAAGATCATGTCTGAAAGTACGACTTCTGTTATATTCGATGGACTTTCACCCTATAGACAATATTCTGTGGCTATTCTTGGTGTTGACAAAAACGGGCAAGCCTATAAGAGTGCTAATGTCACAGCCTGGACAGAAGAAGGAGGTAAACGTTGATAAAAAACAAAAAGTAGTGTCACAAAAATTCTTTCAAAAAATATTATTTATCTTATGAAAATAGCTGTGATTCATTAGTTACATACATACACTGTTCGTCTAATCATAGCAACGTGCCCAATAAAGGCAATTTCAGAGGTCCGAAGACTGCACAATCCTTGGGTTTCACCCACGTGACCAATACCTTAGCAACGGTTACTATCCGCCATCTTGGTGTCCCTCGAGCGTAAACAAACCGTATCTAACGAAGAGTTCATGTGAGAAAGAAGGGATGGTTTTATGCATTATTGTTGGCTGTTCGAGCAAAAGTGGAAAGCATAAAGACTAAGGATTTTTTCGTATAATAATTTAATAATTTTATTATTTCTATAGCGCAAAATTCATTATATATATGATCTAATGCGCTATACCTAAGATCATCACAAATCAAGGGGAAGAACAGGAGGAACTAGAAGTTGTTGTATTGTTCGAGGCTTGCGGCTGTTGTAGATCCTCGATTTTTTGGTCGAGCTTTTCTTTGAGCTTCTTAGCCGATGAGAAATCGATGTCTTTAGCCCTCGCATACGGCACTTCATTGACCTATGTCGGCAAAATCCATGAGCATTTTACCTGAGTGCAAGTAAGCTTGGGGTGTCACGAAAACTCACACCCCGAAAACTCAGAC